CAGCTTTTACCAATTCGCCCATCTCTATTAAATCAGCAATATTAACCAATCAGTAGCTAGCTGTTTCGTTTCCGGAGGCTATGATGATGCCAGCATTAAACTGTGTTACGCTGAGTCTAAATTGATCATTTTCTCCTGTTATCCAGATTGATGTTCATGTCTGAAATTTATGATACATATTCAAGCAAACGAGTGCAAAATCTTAGCTCTCTGCAAAGACCATGTCGTTTTTTCGCACAAAAACATACCGGCAGTTTCGTTCGTTGGTCTTCCAGAATGCTGCGCGACACAGGTGGGCCAATGTAAGTCCTCCCACACTGAGAGCCTGACAGCTGTTTTGGGTAATTTCTCTCCAGCTGATGGCAATGAATTATCGCAATGAATTGGTCCAATAAATTGTCGCATCTAGTTTTTTTTTTGGGGGGGGGGGCGGAAGGGGGGGGGGGGGCTCAGCCCCCTGACCTTCCTCCTTTCCGCGGCGCTAGGCATCGCCGTCCAATGTCTGCTGTGAGGTCGGCTACACCCTAATATGGAAATGCTAATTAGAAAACGGCTAATAGGCACGAGGCGAACGAGGCAATACTAGCTGTCTAAGCTGCCAAGCATCATGTACATGAAGCCAAAAACTAAGGCAGTGGTGCTAGACAGACACCTTCGGCCACACATGACGACAATTTCGACAAGCGTGCTGTAAAGTACCACCCATGATAATTCAACAGATAGTTCTCCACTGATGCGGCATTCATGAGCTAATTCATAAATAACGTGGAACGATTGCTCCGATGAACCTATGCCCAGGTTGATAATAGGAAAAGGAAGGAACTTCGCCTTTCAATTGGCGTCACAAGGGTTCAGAGGAGAAAACAGCTTAATCCCACCGATGTATCCTATTTTGCAACGACTTCAGGATCCGGAGATGGGCTTGTTTCCAGTCGTTTTCCGGTCACTTAATGAAACCAGGCCGTGTTCACTCTATACTTCATTGAACTGAAATTCGGCAGCATGAATTCCATAATCAATTAATACGCAATGATTTACGGTTTGGTCAACTGCGACCAACGTATTGGGGAACACGCAACATTTTTGATTAATATTGGTAAAAACCGGAATAACACGCCCATGCAATTTCCATATGACTCATTTCTGTTTTGCCCACGACATTTTGTATTTGAAATCGGTTTCGGAAAGGCAAAAACGGTCGTTTTCCGGTCGATTGCAGGGAGCCTACGGGTCAGACAACTTTGAGATTATTTAACGAGTTAGAGCCCTTGCATTCACCAACATCGTGCAAGTGGTCTTACGTTTTATCTGCTTCATTGCTAACATCTGACACTGATCCTTAAAAACACCCAAACAGGACCGATCCACGGTTTGCGCATGAGAGGTCGTGGCGGTCCGTCACGCATCGGCTCACACTTTTGTCCGCGTGATTGTCCGTTTTCTCCTCCGTCAGAATTTGTTAGTCTGGTGTTACTGCAACGCCAGGTTTTCCAGATCCCGACCCGGTTTCGACCCGTGGCCTTCAGGTTTTTTTTGGCGGGCTAAACATTTTACGTTTTCCATGTAAATCGAATGAGGAAGTCAAATCGTGCTGCTGTCGTGCTGTGGGAAAAAGCCCGTCTGTTCAAACGGCTTGCTAGCAGATGCCCCTCAATTTGCACAGCACGTCTTTTAAAGAAGAGGAACTCGAGCTGCCGAAAACTGTGAGACACTACGACCAATCCTCGCAAAGATATGAAACTCTAGACAGCGCGACAGCCTGGCAGGGCCGAGGCAGAGTCGAGAACTTTTCCACAGCTCAAGTAAAACCCACTCGGCTCACGGCCTTGATCGCCATTATTTGGTATCGCCACAAATGACCACGTCCATTTGTTGATTGGCTTCCATATTGCTCGTTCCTCATTTCACAGTAGAGGTGCAAGAGCTGGATACGCTTTGTGACTTACGTCTGTGTTGGTCACATGCGCTATTCACGATTTTCCTGCAGGTCAGCCTTCGACCGTACAATTGGGCATTGATTTCCTAAAGTTTACAGGTACCATATTATCACCACGGCAACTGTCACTTGATTCCCGAAAGTTTACAGGTACCATATTATCACCACGGCAACTGTCACAAGGCCCTGGAACACAGAGAAAAAATTCTCACAGCAAAAGTACTTTTTGCGTCGAGGTATGCGGTTATTTGCCGGCTGGGACAGCACGTGGTACTTGCAAACGCATCCTTGATTTACAATACGTACGTAATGATTTACAATGATATTTATAACCAGACAATGCTGTACCCTCTGGCCGTAACCTGCAGTTTAGTTTCGCGAGCACATGCGGAGGAAGACCCCTGTAGAGCACATAAGGAGGAGGACGGGCTAACAGCGTCCTCTGAGACATACTCCCCCTGCCCCTCCCAACGTTTACCTAGCTAAACACGGTCCATTGGCGGCGTACCTCGGACATGTCGGATAGATCTAGTTCCTATACTTAGATAAAGCACCGGGCGGTTCATGCATATGACATACATACGGGCCGCTACGTTCGCATGGAGGAGGAGAGGTGGGGGCGTAACGAAGTGTTGCAAGGGATGGGTGGTGTTGTTTGCACTGCGTAACATTGCGGTCGGGTTTGGTTGCAAATCATGCCAAGTCTTTTTCAAATATTTTTAATACCTTTCAGCGGGATACCGCTGGCTTCCTGTCGGGGTAAGTAACACGCCCGTCATTGTTTCGTACCTCGAGCTTAATTATCAACCAAACGGACGGTGCCTTTTGGGGACGTCACGCTTTGTTCTGCGCCCCTGTGTTCCGAGGCAAGAGCACAGGAAATACCGGCAATAGGTCAGGTCCGGTCAGCCAAAGCTGCGGGAAAACAGAAAATTGGACAGAGACCAGCCACAGCCAGAACTCACGGAGGATAAGTCAAGAATACAAGGCAGATCCATTCGGGCTTTTACCGCCACTTCGTGCTTGAAACTGCTCGTCATCCCTAGTATGGAATTAAAAAGCTGCAACATTTTTCAACAAGACAACAACAGTCCATACCACCGTCTTCCGCCGAACAATTGACCAGCTCCGCCAGCCTTTAACCACGTTGTCCAGTACTATCTGCGATATGCGCTAAGCCACGTTGTCCACCACTATCGTTCTGTGATAAGAACTCGGCCGCTACAACACTGCCAGCAAGGCGGCACTGTCCTCGTCGGACCGCGACGGCCCTGCGAACCTGAGCCGCTCGAAGGGCCCCGCCCAACCATTTTCCAGCTTCTTAATGTCCAGAACCAGCAGAAAATCGTGATTCCAAACGGCGATTTTTAATTTCAAATGATGAATATCACAGCACGGGTGGCGAATTTCTGACCGAAGGAAAGGTAGCATGCTAATGAGCGTGGTAGATGCCGCAACCTTCTGCGCTTTTTCGGCGCATTTTCTGTTTTACATTCAATCTTTCTAGGCTGTAGAACATCTGTGGTTGGTACCGTTACCGTGTTTTATCAGCGTTCATGAACGTGGAATCGTCTTGTTTTTCCTCGTGCACAGTCAGTGCTTTGTCTAAATTATTTTTTGTTACGTGTCTTGCAGCACGTTCATCATGACTCACAACACAGCTTCGGACACATCCTACAAGTTTTGCGTGACACAGCCGTAACATATTTGAGGTATGAATCATGAGTTCGGCCACGTCGGCTTGAGAGCACAGCATCAGACAATTAAGTCCAAATTTACCTTCACCTGCGCCTCCGGCTGCGTTGTTGCAGGCACGCTTTCACGCCCGGGAGATAAACGAGATATCTCAGTGCGCAGCAAAATATCACCAAGCTCTCCAGGGTCCAAGCGAACTAAAAACGTGCGACGAACAATAGGAACAAAACATTTGACTATCGTTATTTTTAGACGTTTTATGTCTGGGCGTAAGTTGCATCGGTGCATGAAATAAAGTATGAGACACTAGGACGGTCTTATCTCGTGATCTGTGTGGCATGCATCTACTTGTCGTTGTTAGGGAATTGTTGGTGGATCGACTGCTACGGTCATTTTGCGCCCTGACGTGCAGCTCCCTCCCCAGCGCTCGGCCGGACGCAGCCACTCCGAGGCACTGCACATACGCCGCAGAACACAGTGTGTGAGAGGCCCGCGGTCGTAAACGCCTTCAGCAGTCCAAACAAGACCATCTTTTCCCATTCGCGAGATCAAGTGGCACACCGACTCACAGCCGTCTCCTGTTTCCGGTTGTATTCGAAGTGAGACTGTGACGAGCGGGGAACACTGCGCAATGGCGCGGGCGGCGGAGCAGATGACACGCGACAGAGTGCTTCAGACAGCACACAACTCCTACAACTGTGCACGATGGAGCGAGCTCGACGACACACACGAACACACGGCCAAGCGAGGGGATGCCGCCAGACCAGCTGCGGCCGCGGCTGTTCCGGGAGGAGGGGCTCCCGCCGGGTCGGGCGGACCCACACGTGCACGCCACGGACCGACCGCAAACAACATGGCGGCCGCCATCGCCGGGCCCGGCCGGCACCGGCGTGCAGACGGCGGCAGCTGGACCCAGCGGCGCCAGGGACGAGAACTGACCACCGACCTCCATCCCACGAACACCGACATCGAACCGCGGACCGCCGCACCAAACCACGCCGGGAAAAAGCCCGGGAGAACGGTGTCTTTTCCTCCCCACCGCTTCTCTCTGAGCCGCGCTCCTGCCGCAGGGGGATCGTGTAGTACGCCCCACGTGGACGGCTGAGTCGCGCCGTTCCCAGATCGTGGCCACAAATCGACGGGGTCACGGAGTGGCCGCGGGGGGCATCTCACCCCCGCGCCCCTGCCGGCCGACCGCGACACGGCGGGGTCACGGAGTGGCCGCGGGGGGCATCTCACCCCCGCGCCCCTGCCGGCCGACCGCGACACGGCGGGGTCACGGAGTGGCCGCGGGGGGCATCTCACCCCCGCGCCCCTGCCGGCCGACCGCGACGCGGCGGGGTCACGGAGTGGCCGCGCGTGCAGCTCATCCCCGCGCCCCTGCCGGCCGGTCGCGTCACGACGCCTTCGCCTGGTCGGCAGATTGGAACGGCCGCCACACCAGGCACTTGGGGTCGATCTCCTTGTGGTCGGGCCCGCGCCGGCGCCGCTTCTCCTCGAACTCGTCGAAGATGTCCTGCAACCAGCACCGCGCGGCGTGAGCGGAGCGCGCCGTGCGAGCGGGGCGCTGGGGGTGCGAGCGGGGCGCTGGGAGGGGAGGTACGAGCGGGACGCTGGGGGTGCGAGCGAGGCGCCTGGGGGGAGAGGGGGTGCGAGCGGGACGCCGGGGGGGGGGAGTAGAGAGGATGCGACGGAAAATCGCCCAGTTTGACCTACAGGAGCCGCAAACCAGTCCGCTGGGGGGTTCCGAAGGCCCAAAAGTGACCACTCCACACTCTTTTAACTGTAAATATAGGGATAGGTTCCGGAAATGTTCAACTTCACTCAAAGGGAAAGACACCAGACGAACGATCCTGATCCCTTCATCCGCGCCTGCGAGCTCCAAACACAAGCGCAGGATGTGTGTCGTTTCTGGTCGCCACAACGCGCGAACACAGCGACGCGGCGCGCCTTGACTGTCGCCAGATGACCGTGGTAACATGCTCCAGTCGCGTCTGGCAGGGACATGCCCTCCCCCCTCCACTCACGTCTGGCAGCGACGTGCCCCGTCCCAGGCGCCACCCACCTGCTTCTTGAGGATGATATGTTTGTTCTTCCAGTATTTGACGATACCAACTGCCTGCAGTGTGCTGACGATGTCATTAGAGTTGGCGGCCATCTCCTGGCTGATATCTGAAGAGGACGACGACGAGAGGTCACCATAGGTCAACGACAGGCCAGCGCGGGATCCTGACCGGTCACCCGGAACGTCGATAGTTCAGGAGGCGACAACAAATCACCGGAGGTTCACGGTAGGTCACCGCGAGACCATGACAGGTCACGGAAGAAACCCGTGTCACCTATTCAGCGCGGCAGTGGAGACCGCGGCACGTCTCTGGATGACGACTGGTCGCCGGAGGACCCCGGCACGCCGCCCGGCGAGCGTGACAGGTCATTAACTCAGGGGACCCTCAACCAGGACCCGTCCGCCACCACCGCGTCAGCTGGACGGGGCCGCGATTGGGACCACTGGACCCACGGGAATGGACTGATGACCGCAAGACGGAGCACAAAGGACAGCACAGCTGCGGGGAGTGGACTGATGACCGCACGACGGAGCATACAGGACAGCACAGCGGCGGGAAGTGGACTGCTACAGGACAGCACCGCGGCGAGAAATAGACTGATGAACGCAGGACGGAACACACAGCACAGTACAGCGGCGGGAAATGGACTGATCACCGCAGGACGGAGCACACAGGACAGCACAGCGGCGGGAAATGGACTGGTCAGCGCACGACGGAGCACACAGGACAGCACAGCGGCGGGAAGCGGACCGCTGCAGTTCTATGTAGACACGAAACTAACGACTCGCACTCGCGGCTGGCACAACCGACCTCCGAGTCACTACTGGTTCGTGGCTCAAACCCATCGGGACCGCTAGTGCTCCGTGTCCGAAACTGGCACGGTTCCAGGTGCCTCTCGGAATCCGTCCTCGATCCTGTTCGTACCGGACAACGAGCGCTGTGTAACAGCGCTTACTTTCCGACATTTCGGCGGACATAAGAGTGTGGTGTCAGTTCAACTTTCGGAAACATGTGCTTAACTCACGATATCAGGCTGCGCAATGACACACATTTCCTTTCGGAGGCAACATATGGACTTGTCAAGAGAACACCTAATTATCCAAAGTTAAGTCTTCACCTAACCATCGGAGCACCTGTGCCACCTTACTCCATGCTTATCATTTTGAATTATGGCGTTCGGGTGCCTTTTGTGGCTTCCTGATAAAACTCTGTCCAATTTGTGCAATGAATGTATGCTATGTAATGATCCGTAAATGAAAAGGCCCAATCGATACCCTTTCTAAGAAATGCATACAAGCACATACTGTGCATCTCGGCAATTTAGCCGGAATAACTGGCATATTAAAACTACTCATGGAGCACGAAAATAAATTCAACTAATTATGGGTCGCGCTTGCGGTTCAGACAACAATGGCCTGCGACTCCTGCGTCTTCCTTCAGGTCTCCCAGACTCGACAGCTGGCACACACAGCGCAGCACTGCTCAGACCGCTCTGAGTCACCGCTGACTCCAACTTCGACTCTAAGGCGAGCCGGCGTGACTTGACTTGGCTGCGTCGCCACTGACTTCGACTCCGACTCCGAGGCGAGCCGGCATTACCCGGCTGGGCTGAGTCACTACCGACTCCGACTTCGAGGTGCGCCGGCATGACTCGGCTCGGTTGCGTCCCGCTGACTCTGAGGCGAGTCGGTGTGGCTCGGCTAGGCTGAGTCACCGCTGACTCCGAGGCGAGCCGGCGTGACTCGGCTTCGCAAGCTATTGAGCACGTCCGAGCTGGCCGCGCCCGATCAATGTAACCACAACAAACCGGACGAGCCGTGCAAAAACACCGACCCGGTCGGGACCGCCTGGTCCGGCACGGCGCTGGCAGCGTCTCGGAGTCCACGGAGTCGGGACCGCCTGGTCGGGCACGGCGCCGGCAGCGTCTCGGAGTCCATGGAGTCGGGACCACCTGGTCAGGCACGGCGCCGGCAGCGTCTCGGAGTCCACGGAGTCGGGACCACCTGGTCGGGCACGGCGCCGGCAGCGTCTCGGAGTCCACGGAGTCGGGACCGCCTGGTCGGGCACGGCGCCGGCAGCGTCTCGGAGTCCACGGCGTCGGGACCGCCTGGTTGGGCACGGCGCCGGCAGCGCCTCGGAGTCCACGGAGGACGGACACCTGGTTCGCGAACCCACACGCCATCGCCGTCGCGACTGTGTCCACACCCCCGCGCGACGCACTGCAGCCAAACAAATATGCGCCCAAAGCAACGCCGCCCACGCGCGCGTAACGTGCGCGGCTCAGCACACAGACCCAAACGCCCATCAACGCCCACGAAAAGGTACAACGAGCCAGTGTGCGGAATATGCAGGAGTGTGCGGAGTGTGCACACAGACCCAAACACCCGCCAAAGCCCACAAAAAGGTACAACGAGCCAATGTGCGGAATGCGCAGGAGTGTGCGGAGTGTGCACACAGACCCAAACACCCGCCAAAACCACACAAAATGTACGACGAGCCAATGTCGAGGAGTGTGCAGGAATGTGTTGAGTGTGCCCACAGACCTCAACACCCACCAACGCCCTACAAAAAGGTACAACGAGCCAGTGTGCGGAATGTGCAGGAGTGTGCGGAGTGTGCACACAGACCTAAACACCCACCAACGCCCACAAAAAGGGTACGAGCCAATGTACGGAATGCTTTGACATTATGACGCGACATGCTAAGCAACAAATGGTTTGCTGATAGTTCAAGACAGGCATTGTATCGACTGAACAGCCTTCGGTTCTGGCGCGCATGATGATTCAGCTGGAGAAAGTTCGATGAAAGCCACACCAGCTGCTTTTGAGCACGGAAATGCCAGCAGGACAATATGCGCCGCTGCGTCCGTTCAGCCGCGCAGTCCGCGAAACCGGGCTGCGCAGAGGTCTTTTAATCCAGTTTGAGGTCGCCGCCGTAAAAAACGAAGTGATTGCACAAAGTGAATGCTATCATGGCTGGCGGGGTATGGCGAATGAGAGGTCAGTAGTGTCCGCGCAGGGCGACTCCCTATGACGTCACACTGCAGCCGGCCTCTGACCTTTAAGAAATCACAAGGGGCCACAATACAACTCTCTGTAAGTTAATCCCGTCGAGGTGATTGGTTTTGTTGGGTTCCCGTGGGAAAGATTGGTGAGCATGTGATCAAACAGTCTCGATGCATAATATTAACGGCTGACCGCATCACCGATTTGCCCAACTGCTGACCTTACGAGAGCGCGCAGGACCACCGCGACGCAAAATTATACGCGGGGATTGGCGAACGAAGGATGAACACCTCTTGCACAGCTAACAAATATTCCACAGTTCACGGTAGCTGCCGACCTTTGGACAAGCTCAATAGATCCGTTGCTGTAATGCGACCACATGCAAATCACATAAGCCTTTTTAGTTAATTGCCAAGATCTTTTATGGAGGCCTAGAGCAAAGCTAGGAGAAAATGTGATGCTGCTATCTTAAAGCAACACATTAGCAGCCACCTGCGCAAAGTGGTTCGCCCAATTTCTGACCTTCGAACACATCCATGGCCACCAAAGGCACATCTCATTGCCCGGCTTATTGTATGCAAAGATAAACACTCCGGGTCCCAAATCGGGTGAGTTTTGCTGGGCTCGATACCACTGCTTCTTGGAAAGGGTTACTCAATAATTCGGGAGCCAAAACGCAACGTTTTTCATGCTCCACACTTTCGCTTTGTTCGCGAGTTTTCGCTTACGATTTTCAACGGACAATGAATTGCCAAACACGGGTAAAATGCGGCGACAGTACCCCCTCAAAAAAGGTGCTGCGAAGTCTTGACAGCGCGGTCTTGTCAGCTGTATTGTAAACTCGTCGTGAATAGCATATGGCAGGCGCTAAAGGGCAGAGCTGAAAACATGACATGCGAGAATGGAATTGTTACATTCTGTACACGACTTCAATTTACATCATTTGCACATATTTGACATCACTTGTTCAATGTCCGGAGTGGCCGGTCGGTACCGGACGCAAAACGGCCACAGCAGCCAAACCGCTGTTAAAAATCAAAATCCAGTCGGGCCGGGAAGACGTTGTAACGATGTGCCAAGGACAGGAACCATGACTGTCAAGGGGAAGCTGCATTCGAAAGTTGCTTTGTTTCGCGCACCGACCACGGGTGAATCCCTTGCAACTTTGACGGAAATCGGGCAGCGACCGCTTGCCACCCCTTCCTTCCCTTTCCAGAGCTGTATTCTAGAGGCAAGTCACGACACGGACCCTAAGAATGCGGCGCTCTTGCTTAAAAATGCACCATAAACTGATGCGTGATGTCAGTTACAGCCCAGACCATCATGCAAAGCAATAAATCACAAACAGATTCTGTGTCAAATAGTAATGCGGGAAAGCCGATAAGACACAAAACCGCAACGAGACAAAAAAGGTTCCAGAATAGTCCTTAAATGCGTAAATCCCACTTAGCACACGCTCTGCGCTGAAGTTTAAAATCAGCGAATGTGCAATTCCCAACGCTACTCTGCAAACACGCAAGTCTTGTTCGGATTCCTGTAGGCATTCGGAAAGGTTCAAGGAAACCGTTTTGGCCCTCAATGCTAGCGCCATATTTTCCCAAGTTCGCCAAAGCAACCATTGACGCTATCGCAATGTTTCTGGACTGTCGCATTTCATTGCAAAGATTCCAAAACACAACCTGCGAAAATGTTGTACGCTGCCGCCTTCACGTAACAAATGGCTTCCAAACATCCCCGTATCCCCAATATTGTCATCCGTCCTACCACCATACCGTTTATACCAGTAGTCTTTTTAGCACTTTTCTAAGCAAAGATCTGAAGCAATGCCTTCGATCGTCTCTGTGATCCACCATCTCTGCCGCAAGGAATGACTGAAACAAAAGTTGAATAACCTTCTGCCGGCCACCTGTTTAAACGGAATGTTCCACATTTGAAGATTTTGAGATAAGCATCAGATATGATGGGAAAAGCTTGCTTGTAACTATTAGTAAGTTTTCAAGGTTCAAAAACGACCCTAAGCAGCAAAATTTCAAAGTTTGTAAAAATGCGCCCCATTACGTCATTGTTTGATGGCGTCATGGAATCGTTTTGTGACGACAGT